CAGTTCCTTTCTTCTCAAGTAGTTACGTAAATACAAAGGCTACTTTGTTGACTCAAAAACAAGCTATATTGACATTATGCTGAAAACACTGCGATTACGCAAGTCTTTTACCAAATATGCTTTCTCTCTGCACGATCATGACCACATTTCCATGTTACAAATGTTAAAAACTAAAATTGGAAAAGTCTTGCATGAAAAATAAAAAGCACAATGTTACAATTTCCAGAAAAAAAAACTATCAACTTAAAATATAATAGTTCCATGTTTTTAATATTAAATTTCGTTTGCGTTTGCTGTTCTATGTAAATGCAAAATTTCAAAAATGATTAATAAAGTGCATCTGTCTTTTGAGCTCCTTCCTAATATCTCGTTTGAAGATGGCGTATGATAGCGGGTTAACGGCTGAGTTCACAACTAAGATAGGTAATTTATAACCAGTGTCTTCACATGAGTTGTGACTGTTTAAGATTAAAACCAAACTGCATCGCGCAAATATTATGTAACACAACAGGAACAAAGCTACAACGACCGCCATCATTTTAACTGTCGACTTCCCTTGAGTCTTGATGAAAACTTCATGATTAAAATGTAATTGTTTAGCCAAGATTCGAGCGGCTTGCTTGTGTTTGCAAACGATTCGAAACATAGATACAAAGCAGAAGATTAAAATAAGGCATAAAGGTATTTCAAAACACGCATAAAACCAGCCGCTGATCTTATAAAGCAGAGAGTTATTTAGACTAAAGCGAAGGGATGCGACAAGTGTTATCACCGTAGATGGTATTCCCCAGGCTAAAGCGATCATTTGAATAACTCGACGGCGTTTCATGAAAAGCAGATACTTCAAAGGTTTCGTAACAGCGATGTACCGATCCAACATTAAGCAACATAAGTTTGTACCAGATGCATACTGGAAAACCACCCTTATAAACATCACTGCAAAATAATCGATGGAGGTTTTAGGCAGTGCGTTTCTCCCGCTGGCCAGTGTATAGAAGAACTGCAAGGGAATAGCAGTTAACCCAACAAAGAAATCAGCAATTGCCAGGGAAACGATAAAAGCGTTGGTTTCGGTGCGAAGCTGTCGACGTCTGCACACCAAAAGGATGACTAATCCATTCCCTGTCAGAGTCAAGACGGACAAGACCCATCCGAAAATCCAAAACCACACATTTTCCATTTTTTAACTGAGGTATCGAAGTCTTGCATAAACACGCATTTATATTTTTTGCTAATTTCTTGTTGTCATTCTGATCACAAGTGAGTTATGTCCAACTTGGAGGAACCAAAAAAGACTGAATGTTTGAATTTTCTTAATTAGATGCTTACGTGATCTCAATAAACTCTCGTGTATTATTGTTATGCAAAACAGCCTCTATAAAGAGTTGTCGACTCTAAAATTACTCACTATTTATTTGAAAGGGTTACTTGAGTTGAATGTACTGAATTGGTATGGTACTGACATCTTAATCTGTGGAGAGAATCTCAATTTCACACTGCTAATCGAGGGAATATATTCTACGCTAGCACCTGTAGCTTTCAATTTTATCAATATTGCGTCAAAGGAGAGAAAAAAAGCCCGATAATAAACGGCATCAGGGAGACATGGGTCGGGTCCCTTGATTACGCGCGACCCAAGGCCCTCTCGTTTTTTCACTCTACCGATTCACTGGAACAGGCTCGGTCTGCGGAGTAGTACCATCTCGTATTTCTCATCAACCTTTTTTTGTCGTGCCATGACAAAGTCGTGCCAGAAAAATTCATGCCGGAAAATTAATGTCGCGTGAGAAAATTAAAGTCGTGCCAGAATGTTAACTCGTGCCTGAAAGTTAAAGTTGTGCCGGAATGTTGGAGTCGTGCCGGAAAGTTGAGGTCGTGCCGGGAAGTTGAAGTCGTGCCGGAAAGTTGAAGTAGTGCCGGAAAGTTGAAGTCGTGCCGGGAAGTTGAAGTCGTGCTGGAAAGTTGAAGTCGTGCCGGGACGGTTGAAGTAGTGCCGGGAAGTTGAAGTCGTGCTGGAAAGTTGAAGTCGTGCCGGGAAGTTGAAGTCGTGCCGGGAAGTTGAAGTCGTGCCGGGAAGTTGAAGTCTTCTTGGAAAGTTAAAATTGAACCGGAATGTTAAAGTAGTACCGGAATATTAAAGTTTTGTCGGAATGTTAAATTTGTACCGGAAAGTCGAAGTCGTGCCGGGAAATTGAAGTCGTACTGGAAAGTTAAAGTTGAACCGGAATGTTAAAGTAGTACCGGAATGTTAAAGTTGTGTCGGAATTTTAAATTTGTACCGGAAAGTCGAAGTCGTGCAGGAATTAAAGTCGTGCCGGAATGTTAAAGTTGTTCTGGATAGCTGAAGTCGAGCCGGGAAAAAACTGAGGTGGTGAAAAATAAAGTTGAAGTGGTGAAAAAAAAACAAAGTTTATGAGAAATAGGAGATGACAAAAACTGGGTTCCGTGTAGGTCACAGAGCGGAACAACATTCCTTCCCTTCTGTTGAGTAGGAATGTTGTTCCTTCTCTTGAGGAGGAATGTTGTTTCTTTAGTTGGAATGTTGTTCCTTTAGTTGAACTGTTGTAGTTTATTCCAAAAATACCTGATCAGTAGAACGTTTATGCCTCCTTCGCACTCACAGTTGCGTGACATCGTAAAAAGGGGCTGTAGACTCATAACTAATCGAAATGACAACGTGACAACCAAGTGGGTTGAATTGCGAGACTACTTCCGTTTCCGCTTTTCATGATCAGTTGCTACGTTCTACTACGTTTCCCCCGCCCCTCCAGCCACCCTTTGTTACAACCTTGTGACATTTGGGCACTGATTTAAGTTAAAGATACTATTGTCTTCGCGCACTGCTTAGACGATTCAAGACTGCGAGGGCGGCACTCTTCCTCATCATGAAGAAACAAACCATGATGATTTTAGCGGCAGCTATTTTGCTTTTGTCGATGGCCGTAAAAAAGTCAAGCGAGAATCTTCTTCCATCACTTCAGTTCACACGCGACACATTAATGAGTTTCTCAATGGGCTCAGAGCGTGAGGTAGAAATTCTCACACCGAACAAGACAACGAGACTAATTCCTAATTCTGGCAACACTGGTTTAAAGATTGTGAAAATGTCTAAAGGGGTCCGACCAGTTAAAGGAGCGAAGAAGGTACTCAAGGGAATTTTTGTATCTGCAACGAGTCATGGCATGATTATACCAGCGACTCCAAAACCAGTTACGCAAACGGTGATCACATATCAGAAAAAACGAAAGACGTACAGACCTCGCGCCTCCCCATCAAACAAGTTTCTTGAAGCTATCAACGACATCGAACGCGCTGTGGCTAATGCGAGGGCTTCAGGAGTCCGCCACAATGGTGATACGTTGCCGAAATTAAAAAGACTTATTGTAAGGGCGATTAGGAGCAAAAGTTTCAAGTATGCGCGCGAGGTTCTTGGACATATCATGTTTATTTTAAGCACAAAATCATCACCACCAAGACGCACAAAGCGGGCTTCTCAAAACAGTGCAAATAAAGGTAAAGAATTTCTTCAGGGACTTCGCACTCAGCTTGGAAGCTCGACGTTTGATAGCTTCATGGCTGTTCAAGGAGATGTATCTCTCATGTTTGTCATCGATAACACAGGAAGTATGGGCGAAGAAATTCAAGCTACAAAGAATATCGCTATTGATATCATCAATTACCCACGTCAAGCCCCTGTTGAGTACATTCTGTCACCATTCAATGACCCTTACCCAGGTAAGTAAGGCTATCACGCACTGTCACGCAATCTGTGTTAAGTATACTGCCTTTTACATAGGAACGTCTAATTTGGGGGCTGAGGCTGAACTTTCTATAAATTTTTTTTGCGGTTTGAGCCTAGAAACGGTCCTTACATGTTCTTAAAGTTGTGAGGTTTAATATTTTAATAAAATAATTCGTACGTGACCAAACAAAGTCCAGACCACATTTTTAATGTGAAAAAAGGCCCCTGGATATTCGAGTTAATAGTCCTCTTAGACCACAGTTTTATATTTCTTTTACCTTTATCTGAACATTCCACCCCCCAAAAAAAGCAAGATTAAAACGTTCTTAACTGACTCCCAGCCTGATTATATCCTCATCATGTTCTTAAAACTTGAGAACAGATCCAAATACAGATGACATTTCTCTCAGTCGGGTATAAAATTTCTTCGCTATTATTGCCAGTGTCTCTAATAAGCGTCCCGAAAAAGATGCCGCTCTACTTCACACAACTGACAGGGGGATTTCTTTTGATTTTATTTAATAAGACAGTCAATTAGTCCTTTCCTGGCCCGCAGTAAGGGCTTCTTGTTATTTGCCAGCGCGAGTGAGCAGTTCTGACTCCTCGCAATTGTCCTCCGAGCCATTGTATTTGGTTTAGGGCCAGGAGGTGGGGACATACGTACTTTTCCTTTCCCTTCCCTTACCCGTTCCTTTCCTCTCGTCCATTGACAGCCCCCTTGGTAGAATATTTTTCACTCCCAGTCTTCCCCTGCTTAAAAAAATTCAAGATGGCGGTTGGACCCTTCACGCGGAGTCATGTTTTAAACATCGAGTGTTCGCCAGCAATAAAAACACTCCTGCACCACAGGCTAATCTTTTTCACAACTCAATTAGCGTAATGCAATTTCATTTTCTTTGCAGATGTATCACCAGTGGTTATAATGGACGAAATTGACGCTGGCGAGTTTGTGAAAGCTATAAACAATCTCAGAGTAAATGGGGGAGGTGACTGTCCCGAGTATACCTTTACAGGCATGCTGGAGGCGCTCTATCAAGACCCGCAGTGGGGCTCCCCTATGTACGTGTTTACTGATGCTGGCCCGAAAGATGCCACAGATGAAAACATCGAGGAGGTGAAGCTCTTGGTTAGCGCCGAAGAATATGGCGTGACAATCAATTTTTTTACAACCGGTAAGTGCAATGATATTCTAAGCTATTGTTTGGTCTCGTCACGCAATATGCTCTTTGCTTCGAAGAGAGAGTGTCACGGAACAAATAAGTTGTTGTGTGTGGGCTGGCGTAACAACTATGGTTTTATGTGGTTGCCTTTTTTGCCTGATAAGATCTTTTTCGACAGTCGGGCGTTATCTTTGTTCTTAATCTTTAATATCATTACTGTTATTACTTTCATTATTATCATAACTGTTGTTTGTTGTTTAAGCAATGTTTATTTTTGTCGCGATTATCAAGGTGCTTCTCTTGTTTTATAGCCGTTTCAATTATTTTTGCTGTTATTCTCACTTTTCTCAGCGCGAAAGATGTCAATCAGTGTTAATAGACGTTGTACAAAATAATAACAAACTTGTCTCCCTCTGTTGAGATCAACTACACGCGGATCTACGTAAGCTTCGGCTTGAAGATCACTCATCAAGAAACCCATAGATGATTTTTTTTTCTTAATTTTGAAAACAACGAAAGGCTTGGGGGCAGGGAATGATGGAAGGGTGCGGGGAGGGAATAAGGAGAGGGTAGAGATCCGGCTATCCGCCTCGATACCCGATGATTAGCCAGGAAAGCGCGTGTCATATTTCTTGCCTATTTCTTGCCTACCTACTCTCCATTAGGATGTAGCGGCAAGGAAAACGATGCGTACGTTATGAGACAATGGTCATCTCGACAGTATTACAGCTAATGTAATATGATTAAGCGTACACTAATTTTTCTAAATAAACGATGTCGGTCTTTTCAGGGTACTGCACTTCCCAGGGATACTCACATCAAGACCCGAGGAATCTCCATCCAGCTTTTAGGGAACTAGCAGAATTGACTTCCGGCCAGGCAATTTTGTTGAAAGACCAGTGGGAATTAGAAGAACTGAACGATTTGACCGGGGGAGTACTTGAAGGAACTAATGTTATCAGTGTTGGCTCGAATATGTCGGGAAGAAAGAAACGGAACACTGACGGAGCAGTAAGCAACCGATATAGCATTCCAGTGGATGAGTCTATCGAGAAAATGACCATATCAGTGACTACCACAAAGAGAGATACAAATGGTGGGAATACCTACCACCAGATAATCGGATCAATGTCAGTATCTGAACAGCTGCGCACCTACCCCTCCCCTGACCCAGCATTAACCCTTACTTATCATCAGGTGACTGTTTTGGGGTTAGGGGAGGGGTAGGTGCGCAGCTGCCCAGATACTAATATTTAATCTGGTACTCTAGCAACAAGAAGTAGGCTTTGAGAATGATAGGGGCAAACATTTGTCCAATTTGTCTTAAGTAAGATCGATTTTACCGTGAACTTTCCAATACGCTTAGGAAAATTAGTATATACTCTCAAGTAATGTTCTGAAACACAACCATGCTTGAACGATCACAACGCAAGTGCTCTGGTAGAGACTTTTTCGGGAGAGGAGTACAGGTCTTCTTATTAGAGACGAGACTTTAGCCTCTTATCTCCCATGAGTGACCGAGACAGAATTTCTCCTAACTATCTCAATACAATATTAAGCAGACAGGTAAAGAGAATAAAGAAAAACATCAACTAGGGGATAATCAGTTGATCCAATACCAAATTCTCTTAACTATCATCATAAGAATTGTATGACAGACAGTAAGGAGAATTACCAAAGAGATCTTAGGGGTGAAATTAACGGATATAGGGATATTACCGGGTTTCCGGCAGTTGACACTATATAGTTAATGAAACCATCCGTGTAACGATCGTTCTCTCATATCTCTCCTCGCAAAGGTCAAGGAATCACTGTAACAGATCCCGACAATATCATTATCACATCTGGAAAACGCAGCCTGTCCCAGATCTCCGTTTACCAGATTGACAACCCCAAAAAGGGAGAATGGACACTAACTGTGTCTGGCAGCAATGGAGGTCACCAATTTTACGTCAAATCGACCAGTGAGACAAACGTTGACTTCGAACATTACTTCATCATTCCATTAAGCCGCAGGCGCCATCAGGAAGTACCTATTTCAAATCCAATAATTGGTGAGTTCGCGTTGTCAATTCCGCTCTTTGAAGACA